GAATCTTCCCTAAAGCCTGATTTTAAGCTTGCTTTTAACGTGGCATTGAACCCTAGCACAGATCTTGTGAACATATCGACGGGAAGACAAAATTGTACCACCCCTTCTCGCTTGCTTCTGATGAAACTTCTAGCATTATATAATATGACATTTTAATATGACAGAAACAAACGAAGTATCCAATGTCAATTAAAAATATAGCATGTGAATCGTTGATTTTAAAAAGAAAGAGATTTTTAACCACCCAATTATGTCAAATATAAAAGTAGGTTCTGGAACTTAGACTTTGAAAGAGAAGTAGATTCTAGCGATCTAATTATCTACCGAGCGGGATTGACTAATCTTAATTACATTGACCATAATTAAATAATGTCCTATCAAGATTGGAGTGTCTGACTTCCAAATACTGGATTAGTTAAATGACCTGAGCTAAGAAAAAAAGGATTCTGAATTTACATTAGAAAAAAGAAGAGCGCCAAGTCAGCAGACATGGACATAAATTATAGAATAACTATTGTTCAACCATCAAAATAGAGAATCAAATTCCAATATTTTCTGGGAAATCACTGTACAAGGCATCAGCATGAGGTTTTCCATGTTTTCAGCTCTGTTTTGCTTCAACAAGTAGCCATGTGATGTGCCTGTCACTACCTAATAAATTCCTTAACAAATTTTTACTGTTTTGGTCTTATTTTCAGAAGCAGAAGATTGTTGAAGAAAGAACAGATTTATGATAAAGAAAATATGGGTTTTGGATTTGGATTTGGTTATCTTGTCCATCTTTTTTGCTCACTACTTGTGCTGCGGGTGATATTTTCTTCCTTCCTTCTGCACTTATAATTTCATGAAAGTAAAAAAAAAAATTCAGTAATTTCTGTTAAATTTTAAGCTTGATTTGGGGATTTTGTGACAATTCTATGATAGTCATGGAGTATCTTGACGATCCTTATTAGTCTCACTTGGTATTGATTGTTGGGATGATTTCAGTTTTAGTACTTCGTCTTTTGGTTTTATCCTCTAGTGTGTATTTTGCGCGTAATTTGGGTACATTGTATTCTTTTGTATTCGAATTCTTCCCTTTTGAGTATTATGAACTCTTGTCCAATTTTGACACCATTGCAGCATCTTGAGATGACTGAAGCACATGGGGAAAAGGTTGAAAGAGAGGTATATGATATGAAATTAGGGCGTAATTTTAAAGATAATCATCTTCGAGTTCATGCTAGTCGGGATGAAAACTCAGGCAAGAATTTACATGATCGTTCATTATCTCATATGAATCGCTTGGATCCTGAACTAAATGTGTTCTTTCATGTCAATGAACTTAAAGTTGGGAAGAAAATGCATATCTACTTCCCCATAAAAGACCCTTCTTCCTCTCCCCCTTTACTGTCCAAAGAAGAATCTGATTCTATTCCTTTCTCATTAGAAAAACTTCATTATATTCTTCAACTATTCTCCTTCCCAGAGGGCTCAAAACAAGCCAAAGCAATGGAAAATACCCTTCAACACTGTGAATTTCCACCCCTTGACGGAGAAACCAAGTTTTGTGCCACCTCCCTTGAATCCATGCTCGACTCAGCTCGATCCATATTCGGATTCAATGCCAAATTTAAAGTTCTCTCGACTAATCACCTT